GGTTGTCTTAGGGGGCCCTACCCCGAGCCTTTGATCAAAGATCTAACCTACAAGGCAGCAGGGCGATGTGAGGGCGTCGCAACCCGTTGGGAGCCGGTGACCAAGTAGATGGTTCATACGCCTTTCGGTCCGTGAAGGACCAGGGGCCCAACTCACCCTTAAAGTACAATGCCTCTCAGGGAGGGGCAAGGGGCAGTGACTTTATTTAGTGGCGAGTCACATCCGCCACGTCGCAGTGCTGTTAAACGGACATATGTGGCTTTTTATAGGGAGAACGCTTGCCAGGCGAAAATCCACCACGTCCTGGAACACTGCCGCCAAACCATTCGCTGGAACGGGAAAAACCCGAACCACCCAGCTGGCACCACGAGGAGGTTGTTCGGCAAGCTTAGCTTGTATGCTAAGCAGTGAGGCACTGACGGCCTTACCTTGACTGGTGACGAAACGCCTGCAGCACAGTTGCTCAGCTCGAAGGACAAACGAAAACTAGATCAGTTAACATTAGCTACAATATTCCGATTTATCGTAGACTTTCAAGCTGGCTCTGTGTCCAGTTAATAGTCTGTTGAGATGGTTGGCGGCATCCGGTTTCGGATTTACCTGTCACTGTGGCCAGCCACAGGACGCCTGCACCTACAGAGAGGGACCATGGATGGCTTGCGCTGCACCACCCACCGCTCCATCCACACACCCCATATCCAGTGTAAACCCGAAGGAATAAGATCGGGAGGCATGCGGATGGGAGCTACACTTCATCAACCGAGCCGGCTCACACTCCTTCACAGGCAAACACAAGCACGCTGTGTTTGGGGAATCAAGTGTACACAAGGCGGTGGTTGGACCTTAGTCCGCTCCACTCTGAGTGCATGGAACCACTCTTCGAGCCTAGCACGACCACAAGGACCGTGCACGCCTTCCTCTCCAGCAACGACCAACCGTCTCCTGGAGCCCGTTTGAACGAGGTAGTGGGTAATAGACAGGTAGGCACCTTGTCAACACGCACATCAAGCGCAGCCACACGTTGGATGTCAAACAACAACCAATCACTCAAAATGCCGGTGTCGAATGAAATAAGCCTATATGACGACATAAATACCCGCTAAATGAGCATATAGAAGAAATCGGTTATTAGTGAATCCGTGATGAGTACAAAATGTCCGAGCTATTTAAAAAATACCACGCGATACAATTACACAAGTTTACCACAATTTGCATGGCGACGTGTGCAAGTTGGGAGAAGATTATCAAGTACGCAGAACAAATCAAATAAAATGTAACGAATTTTATCCACATTAAAAAGACCTAGTTTACGTGTAAGTTGGTTTAGCCCAACTGCGGTGAAGAAGCATCATGAATGCAACATCGGCCTCATACACGGTTGGCGGCATCCGGTTTTGGATTTGCCTGTCACTGTAGCCAGCCACAGGACGCCTTCGCCGACAGAGGGACCATGGGTGGCTGGCGCTGCACCACCCACAGTTCCATCCACACACCCCATATCCAGTGTAAACCCGAAGGAATAAGACTGGGAGGCATGCGGATAGGAGCCACGTTTCATCAACGGAGCCGGCCCACACTCCTTCCCAGGCAAACACAAGCACGCTGTATTTGGGGAATCAAGCGTACACAGGCGGTGGCTGGACCGTAGTCCACTCCACACTGAGTGCATGGAACCGCTCGTTGAGTCTAGCACGGCCACAGAGACCGTGCACCCCGTCGCTTCCAGCAACGACCAACTGTCTCCTGAAGCCAGTATGGACGAGGTAGTGGGTAATAGACAAGTAAGCACCTTGTCAACATGGGCATAAAACGCCTCCACACCGGGGATATCAAGCAACAGCCAATCATTTGAAACGACAAGATGAAATAAAACAAATCCAATAATGCATACAGATACGGTAGCATAACTCTTCGCTAAATTAGCATGTGAAGTAAGTTGGTTAGCAACGAATCCGCGATAAGGAAAAAATGTCCACACGTTAGTTAAAAATGCTACAAAACGCAATAAAGTTACCGAGGATAAGCGCAATTAATGTAAGCAACGTGGCCAGTTAATAGAAGATTATTCAGGTAGGCAGAGCAAACCAAATAAAGTGGAATGAAATTTATCCAGCTTAAAAAGACCTAGTTTAAGTGTGAGTTGGTTTAGCCCAACTGCGGTGAAGAAGCACCATGAATGCAACATCAGCCTCAGCATGGGGCACGTTGAGAGACATACATACAGACTGTCAAGATCTTGTTACCTTTGCGCGACAGCTGTTTTTGAAAAGTGGTTGCTCTATCTCCTTTCGCCGTGTCATGGAGACGTTTAATGAAGTGTGGCGGATGGCCTTTAGATTGCAGCGCTTTGAAAAGTAGTTCTTTCATGGTTTGCAGTGAGTCTGGAGTACAAAGCCTACGAATGCAATTGAAGAAAGTCCGCACAAAGCATTGTATATGTTCCATCGGCAAGGAGCTTTCAAAATAAGAGCTACGGATTAGTCCAGCTAGCTGTCTTGTGGACTCGTCTCTTGGTTGACCAACCCAAATATCTTGTAGGAAGTGCGTTTCGAGTTGGGAAGCAATCGCTCTGCTTCTTCTCAAAGGATGCGATTTAGATAAATACTGTTGAGTACCATAGTTACAAATGCAATGCCTTCATCCGAACTCATAATTAGCAGTATATCATCAACATAAGGTTTATATAAATTTGCCGAAATGATGAGGCCTTCTAATTTCTCTACAGTCATGGCCATGAATACACTCTCTATCTAAGCGTCCAGTGGGCTGTCATCGTCAGACTATCCATTTGTCGGAACCTTTAGCCTGGCAGTAAAACTTGCTATTTTGTGCGTACATGTGGCGCCTGTCCCCCAAAAGAACATTCCAGTTGTCGCGGAGTAAAAAGGACATTCACGGATGTGGTCGTTAAGGTCCATAGGCAACTCCTTCAGACATAAGTGTTGTCGCAGCTTTGCAGAGATTTCCCTTGATTTCGCAGTATATAACCTGACTTGTAAGTCCACGACTATTCTTACTAATTTGGCGGATAATAAAAATGAACCGATCTATTAGCTCTGTTTCTTACTGTCTAAAGATAAACGAGCTATCGAATTCCAGCGTCAGATGACTCGGGATAGAACCTAAGTGAACCTGAAATGTCCCACTAATTGGCAGTTCATTTGTTTACATGTAACAAAGGAACTCCTTCTTGGGATGACACGACGGTGATAGACAGGATGGTGCGATTGATCGGGTCCAGTGAGCTCTTGAACGTGCAGAATGCAGCTAGTGTTGGCCTGAGGTAGGTTCAATGTTACTTCAACCATTGCGGCTTGTTGGTCCATCGGTGGTAGGTGTTTTGTTACGTCAACTGGCTTCTTACCACCGTTCCCTCTTCATCGTCAATTCAAAGCCCTAACTACACGTCCATGAGCACTACTTACGTTAAAAATGATAGTTTATCTATGATTATTGTAAGCGGCAAACTTTTGGAAGCCTTGACCAAACGGGAATCAAATGAGCGACAAAGCCGGCACTGAATAACAGTACTACTTAAGATGAATTTAATCAATAAATGTGCAATACCTCCACAGTACGCGTTTCCAGCACAAGTGTAATGGCAGCTTCTACTCAATCCAAAGTACCAACAAATATGACTTCAAGTCACACGTACGACGAACTAGTGACGTTGCCAAGCGCCGCCGCTTTTACTGGACCTTGAATTAGGATAGCTGACTTATCGGAAGGACGGCTGTACTGAGTTGTAGGCGTTGAATCTGCGCGTTACGCACAAAGTGATAGCAGTATGGGGAAAGAAGAACGAAAAGGATAAGCTGTACGAACCAAATGGTTTCGGATGTGACTTCAACTCACATCAACATTCCAAAATCGTGAGGTCAATACTGCAGTGCGAGGCAACAAGAGTCGCCCCCACGACAATCAATGGGTAAAGATTGAGACACTCCAAAGCACCGATAACACATTGGGCGTTCCTGATTGATACCTTAATGAATTTTCTAAGTGGTTTAATTAAGTCACCTTGCGGGTGATTGAATGTGATGAGATAAATGCTCAAAGTGGAATTCAGTTTCCATCGGATCACTGAGTCTGGATTGAAATCAAGATCATACAAAGTTTGGGTCGGGGCAAGAAAAAATGGGTTGTTAGAGGCTGGAAGGAATCATAGTGAGTGAGCGGAACGGACGAAGCACAGGATGGGACATTGCGGAATATTTTATAGTACTGTCGAGGTGACACATTCAGATTAGGAGATTTGCACCGGTATGACAATTTGTGCTCTTGGGGTTGTAAAACGGTGTCCAGTACCACTCAGTGAAACAATCTCTAGCCTTATATCATTGTGTGTGATCGAGACAGTGATGGCGAAGGATATACTGAAAGTAAAACCAATTTTGGCGGCAAATGATGAATAGTCTAAGTCCAATGGATAACGCTGCGACACCATATCGGGTAGTAGCTTTCCGGAACGATGTCCACCCGTTACCGGTGCCTCAGCTAGCGTGCCTCGTTTGTAGGCTTTTTTCTTACGTATTGCGGCAAAATATCTGTTTTCCACCTCTGTCTAACGTGCATAGTAGAGGTTGTGTATAATATCGGTCGGTAGCCGAGTTGTCTGCGCGCTTAGTTTGCAACCATAAGGTCACCGATTCGAATCCGAGTAGTGGTGAGCGTCCTTGCCGTATACTCAGCCCACGTGTGATTGGTGGTGGCCGCGCGGCAACGAAGCGCCGTTACGGCGTACAGCTGACATATTATTATTATTTAATGTGTATAATTATGATAAAGAACCCTGTTGCTTTTTAGTAAACTTACCGGTAGTCATGTTGATTTCGTCTGTCAACTTCATTCGACTTCTCATGCTCACGCCTTAGGTGAACTGGTGTACGCCGCAGATAATAACAAGCCGTTTGTGGAATTTTTGTAGCAATAATCATTTAAGACAAACCAAAACACCATTTTACACCAATACCTATTCAAGATATTTTTTGATTTTTCAGCTTGAAGCAAAGGTGAAAGCGCAAGAGGCGGATATTCAAAGGAAGGATGATCTCATTCGAACATTAACCAGGTATTTACTGGGGATCGGCAACAACGCAACACCTTTTATGTTTAATTTAGCATGGAATTCCCCATTGAAACAACGCGGCATGATGTAGAGCGGACCAGTGAAGAATCAGGGTACAGGCGGGAAGGGCTGACTGACCCGAGGATGAGGGTCGGAAACGTGGGCGCCGAGGTAATTTAGCGCTTCGAGCGTCGGAGAGTAACTTACTATTACCCGCATGTTTATTCTTGATAATTATTGGCTTTACATAATAATAATAATAATAATAATAATAAAACTAATAATAATAATAATAATAATAATAATAACGTATCAGCTGTACGCCGTAACGGCGCTTCGCTGCCGTGCGACCACCACCAGTCGCACGCGGGCTGAGTATACAGCGAGGACGTGCACCTCTACCCGGATTCGAACCCGTGCCGCAACATTACGAGACAAGCTCGTTACCTCCAGGCTACGGGACGGCTTTTCATATCGGTGATGTACTGTAGTAGCCATTTTGAATTCAACGTTGTACTGACACTACTACGCTTATACAAGTTAACTTTACTTGCGGTAGCAAGTACATTGGCCGAACTGAGAGAAGGCTGTCACCGATAATTGCAGAGGACGTCCCGCGAAACATGGTCGCAAATGACCACATGCTACCCATTAACTCTTTTGCGCGCTACATACGGTATACTACCGAACATAAGCCGGTAATTTTTGGACAATTGTTCATTTCTTTAGAGAGGGTTAGGCTTATAAAAACATTATATACAAATTTAAAATGTCCCTTGCAAAAGCCACTCAGAGATCCACTGCACACATCTGCCCCTACCTCCCATTAGCACCACCCGTAGTGCTGGACGATATTGCAGACGGATATTTGCAATGCCTCATCTTTTTTCCTACGGTTTCTACGCAGCACTGCGGGCAGGTTGTCTATAACTAGCCACGTTACCTTTTGTGGCGAAAATTCGCGGTATATTGTATTTTTGACCTTCGTGACGGATAGCGGTAACAGAAAGATACGGGACTACGCAGAATCAAACATTATCACACAGAATAACATGGGGAACAACTTTCAGTTTAACACCAGCAGCATGTGCGCATCGTTTCTGTTGAGATATTTTTAAATGCACATTTCCTCTCAGCTGGATCACGTAATGTCGCATTAGCGTCGTCCGGTGACCGAGTGGTATGCGCGTCTGGTTTGCAACCATAAGGTCACCGGTTCGAATCCGCGTAGGGGCGGACGTCCTCGCGGTATACTCAGCCCACGCGCGACTGGTGGTGGCCGCGTGGCAGCGAAGCACCGTTACGGCGTACAGCTGGCGATTTATCTATTTTTTACTTTGGGTAGCGCATCAAAACTGCTTATACATTACAGTCATCAAAACTGACTACTAGTCAAGCAGGTTTCGCTTGAACACACTCAAATGAGAGCAGTTAGTGAAACAGTTTTTTTTCTTTTTTGCTGATTTTTTGGAGTTGCTTAATATACGTACTTACGACTTAGAACAAATTTGATATTGTAAAGTTATACTGGCAGCGTATCCATGGAGGGGCTTATATTCCTTATTATACCGTACTTGATGGTCCTCTGTGCCCAAACCCACGTGGTAGATTTAAGGTAATCAACTGGCAGAATACTCCCCACCTACTTCAGTTCACTGACGCCACCGCGATTCGGCGGTTGAAAGCAAGTTTGTACAAACCAACGGATTTAGTGACCAGCCTCGCTCTACCCTGGCGAGGCTAGTGACTGTCTTTCGTCTGATCAGGTCACGTGAACTCAACGGCTTTTGACCACTTTACACTTCAATGTATTCGCCCCAGCAGCCCACAAGCTCATAGCTCAACTGTAATCCGGAACAGCACCAGACGCGTTTCGCCCCATTGGGGCTCGTCAACTGTGCGCATTCTCTCGGTCCCCTACTGCGGATTGAACCATTAAGTTTCACCAATGACATTGCACGTTGATTGTTTTTGACATACAACCAGTTCTCTCCGCAAATATTATTTTAAAAAATGAGGAGAATATGCGAAGTATTTAATTCTGTATATTCTGTTAAAATGTGCTTTCTTCTTGTTTTACCGAAATTTGTGAAAGGAAATACTTGAATTAAGTTAAAACACACTTCAGAAATACATTTATGCGCATTTTCAGCGTCGTGCGTTAGCATTGCGGATATCCAAGAGTATGGCATTCATGAAAACGCGCACATTGACAGACATATTGAAAGATTGCATTTTCATTGTTACGATCACGCAACTGATGGCTCTCCACTTTGAATTTTGACTAGGCGGATGCAGTGGACACCCTACTGGTTAGAACAGTATGCATAGGGGTGCAAGTCGCCAGTTAGAATTTGTGTGAAAAGTTGTTGCTCACTCTAAAAATGTACATCAAGTTGTGCAAAACCTCAAGGTGGTTAGTCCATGAGGTGGCATCGAGGCATGAAGAAATTAACTGAGATATGGTTAGGCTGGTACATGCCGTCGGCCTGGATACGGGTCTCGAGACAGTCCATACCAGTGGTTCTCAACCTAGGGGTAATTATCCCCAAGAAGGTAAGATTGAATTTCACGCGAGTGAGAGATAAGTACGAGGATTGGGTCCTGAATAGGCTTCCCAACAACCTTAATGGCAACATCATCTATCCAAAAACATCTAACTAACTACCTAACCGTTATTGGCTAGCCAACAGTGATTAATCATTCATGCGTGGACAGTGAATTAGACAATTTCCAGTAATAAAGTTTACAACCTTAAATACGAATACCAGTTTGCAAAGCAGCGCGGCTGGATGGTGCCTCTATCGGCTCGCACGTCAGTCGTTGCTCTTAGGGGTCAGTCAGTCGTTCACAGGGTCGTGTAAAGAGTTGAGTGAACACTAAAATGGAATCATAGGTGGAAAGCTGTCATCCAGGATGGACATGAGAGGGATGTTAGAAAAAAATGCAAAGCCACTGCCTTCTATCCTGTTTCTTGAGGGACCACACATCAAAGAAAGGAACCGAATGAACTTGGAGCACGACTATGTGCAGTAGGCGATACGGCAGCAAAAATATCATAACTTTTTGGAACTAAGTATTAACAACCGTCTCATTAGCTCACACCATCTTTTGATTTAATAAGAAATGGCTCTAAAATAGGTGTTTGCTCTATTTGAATGAAATAAGTAATGAAACTATATCCCTTTTACATAATATAAACTAACAAATGTAACAGGTAGCTGGTTATTATCTTTCAAACTAAAACTTTTTCGGTCATAGTGAACCAGCTTTGTGGGTAACACGCTTAAAAAGCTAGAGAACCACCGGTCCACACCAATGGTTGGAGAGTGTGTCAGATATGGCGCGCTCATGAACTCAGTGGCGTTCCTGTATTCGGTTGCTTTCGTCTGGTTGTTAATTTTCGTTCCATTCTGATTAGTCTAAAGCATTTCCTATCTCCTTCGATTTTCTCAACATTCTATTCACACCCACACGCACTGTCCTACCGTTTTTATTCATTGTTATGCTTACGGTGTGAGCCGTGGCAACTGATCGCACTGCACCGATGCTCGGATCGTAGATGTTTGACTGAACTGAATTGAACTTGCTAAACTGAACTTGCTAGTCATAACTTCGAGGATGTATTCTTTTTTAAATCAGAAGCTTGTGAAATAAATTTTGGAAAACAGCTAAGAAGGAATAGTGCTTTTTAAAGGGATCGAGAAAAAGTAGCTAAAGAAGAGAATGATCATTGAAAAAGGATACACACATTTATGGAAAAGAGAAATAACGATTGATGTACAGACGGATCCCTGAGCCCCGGAGCGTAAAATGCCCTCCCCTGATTACAAGGAAGTAGTAGGGAGAGCTGCATTTTATAGGATGAAGTTCATCACACCTAGACTCGGTCAGACAGCCATCACACGCCCGGATAGGCACTGTACAGCCGTTTCGTCCTCTCCGGAATCGTTAGCAGTGCGTTTTCTATCTGACCACTGTGGGGCTCCAACCTACAATTCAGCTGTTGCCAGTCTGTGATTGGGACCAGTGAGCTATAAGGGACGGCAACGATCGTCGTGACTACTTTACTAGATGCGATATAGCGTCGATCTCTCCGCTGTGTTCCACGTTGTTGCCATGAACGTTTCAATCATTTGTCCGTACCAGGGTAATTTGCAAGACGAAATCACAGAGATGGTCAACAGTCGGTGGTATACTGCGGATAAATGTCGATGCTTAACACATCCCGCATCATTCTGAATGAGTTAAAAAGAAAAGGATTAACAAGCTAACTCAAATCCAAACTTTGTTTTATGCACACATGAAGGGGGAATATTCAGCTCTACCACACACGACACTGATGGCGACAGATAATGAAATCGAACAGTACACGAGAATAGATATAACACCACAATCGTTGACAAATTGGCAGAGCTACTCTTACTGGAATTATTTATATTCAGTCCTTCGATTACTGCATTTTTCTCGTTCAAAAAGTGACAGGTAAGCGAATGGTTTTCTAGCTCTGCATGTTCGCGCAGTTTTATATGTATTCGGACAACGCCTTATGGGGTGCGCATTTTATATGTAAGCTTGTTACAGAAGTTGGGGTGGCATGATACAGTGATGTTAAAAAATTGCAACTGATAAAATATCCCTGAAGTAGACATCAGAACAAATGTTAGCGAACAAGCTCGTTTTCAGTAGTTCCTCATCAGGCTAATACACCACAAATGAATGACGAACGTAAACATCAGCTAAGAGTACAGGTTCAAAACCCAGATGGTCTGAGTGTCCAAGCTAGTCGATTGGCCCCACGGTGATCAACAGTTTGTGTGTGTGTGTGTGTGTGTGTGTGTGTCTAGCGTTGTCCACACTGTGTCCGTGTTACAGGGGACCAGGGTAGGGTTAGTGTCTGGACAAATTTCTTGTGTGCACGTAGGTCAGGGTCATGAAGCTTAATGGCTGTCGCCTCGGCCGCTGCCAGTAGACGACATCTAACCGCTCTTGTGTGGCATCTTGGTACGCGATAGATGGGCTGGAACGCCTCATGCGCTCTGACTTGCTGGCTCGAGTCGATCAGGTGTGTAGACACTTCGCTTGCCACTGATCTAGTCACGACGTTATACAGCCAAGCTGGACAGTGTTCCGTGACTCTCTCGGACAGTCTCCTAGTATTTCTTCCGATA